AAAAAAAAAAAAAAAGTCTGTGGGAATGCATGGAAAAACAGCCGTAAGCCGGAGAGCCAAGTGTCCAGGCTGCAGAGCACATGGGAGTGGGTTATGCCAAGACAAATGCCCAGGAGATGGGCTGTACGGGGCAGCAGCAACACTCAAAGCCACTGACATCCACTCCCCTCATCTCTAGCGCCCCAGCTCACAAATGCAACCGTCAACACTTACAGAGGGATGATCAGCTCCAGGGGCAGAGACACACTATGGAAGTATACACATGAAAAAAATCTTATGACAAGGAATCAAAAATCAAGCTGTGCGGCCAGGGAGACGGCTCAGTGGAATAAACACTTCCCTGGCAAGCACAAGGGCCTCAGTTCAATCCCTGGTTCTGAAAAAAAAAAAAAAAAATCAAGCTGTGCAGAATCAGAATGATTCCAGAAGCTGAGAAGGTACGTAGCTCAGTGGTAGCACACTTGCTACCACACACAGAGGCCCTGGGTTCCATCCCCAGCACCACCAAAACTGGAATGAAACAAAAAGCTCAGAATGATCCTGCCAGTTATCACTGACTGCTTCTCGGGTGGGACTTCCTATGTAGAAAGCCTGATTAAAATGGCAGTCGGCTGGCACTACCACTGAGTGGGCTTCTACCAGGCTAGAATCAAGGCAGGTTCTCAGCCTGCCACTTAACCATCACATCCTCCTACAGAAGTCCCACTTTATGGGCAGGGCTTAGCTATGTATAGAGATCACACAACGATAAAGAAGAGAACTGAAGCCAGGATGGGGGAGCACACCTGTAATTCCAGCACTCCTGGACACTGAGGCAGGAGGGCTCCAAATTCAAGTTTGAACCCAAACTGGGCTATTTAGTGGAGAACCTTCAGGTAAATAAATAAATAAATAAGGGCTGGTGAGATGGCTCAGTGGTCTAAAGCACCTACTTAGAACAAGCTAAGCTAAGCAAGGCACAGGGACCGCAGTTCAATCCCCCAGCACCACAAGCCAGCCAGCCCCGCCCCCTGGTGGGCTGAGCTGGCCACACACACACAAAATAAATAAATAAATAAATGTATGTTAGGGGCATAATTTGGTGCCCAAGTCCTGGGTTTAATCTCCACTATAACCATCCAGATCTCACACACACACACACACACACACACCCCGACACTCCTCCAAAGGAAGACAGCTGTGATGGAGGCTGCATCTGCTTCTGCTTGACATGAAACTCATACTCTTCTTTAGAGCCAATATGCAAATATGCAAATTCCCTAAACAAAACACCATAGTGGCCAGGTGGATCAACTTGTGACTTGAAAGAGCTACTGAGCCATTCATTATCACTAGGGACCTCCACACAGGAGAGAAGGATGGAAGTACTGAAGGTGTGGCTCAGCCTTGGAGCACCGGGCCCCTGCACTACCATTTACAGTCTCACATATTACTCCACCACTGCCAGGTAGCCTTAATAGGCGGCTTCACATTTTTACAGGAAGGCGATGTGATCTAACAGTGAAACTAAACTGTAACATCCAGATGCAGTAGGCACTAGCATCAGGCATGTATGTGAAGTATGGAGCATTGTTTTCTGCCCTTGGTGAGAGCCAGGTGTGGTACACACCTGTAATCACAGCACTCAGGAGGATGGGGCAAGAGGATCACAGCAAGGCCTCCTCTCAACAAAACAGAACACAACAAAAGGACCTCTAGATGAGGAGCAAACCTTCCTCACATTGAGAAAGCAGCAGGTGAACTCCATTTTAGTCCAAGGACATGAACTGTATATACACTAAAGCTTAACCGAATTCACAATTGCCACAAAGAACTAATTTCTTTTGTTAAAACACGTTTAAGAGTCTAAAATGGGCTGGGAATATAGCACAGTGTGGTACAGCACTCATCTAGGATACATGAGGCAGAGTTCAATCCTCAATCCTGAGGGACACACATACACACTTTGCAGTCCTGAAGTAAATCTGTGTGATCTTCCAATTTAACCTGAATGCCTATTAGCCTGATGGCTTCTCAGATTGCTATAAAGAAGATCAATACTGGGTATGGCACTGGCAGTGCTTCTGCCGGTGACCTTCCCCA